TTTATTGAATGGCGAACATATATTTTGGTGCCTATATGTACTAATATTTGCGTTTTAAATAAATAAATAAACATACTTTATTAGGTAAAAATCGGAACACTAGACAATTTATGAAGTTAAAGCAAGCTGCACTTTATGTATGAAAGCTAGTGGTATTTTCCAGCTACCTAGACAGAAGTGAAGCAAGATTTGGGAACGTACGGCCTGGTCGTTGGAAGTACAATAATCTTATCCACAAAGCAATTGGTTCGTCAGTGAGCTTAAATAACACATAAAAACCAATTAAATATTAGTTTTTATCATGTACAATTAGATAGAGAGAGAGATAAAAAAGAATTAACTACCTGAATTAGGTGCACTAGAGGTAATTCCTCCCATATGTCCAGCTGATCCATGTCCACTAGAAATTTGACCCGATGTTGTAAAATTATGTGAACCATTTCCTGTTCCGCTGCTGGTACGAGCTAATGACATTGAAGTTAATGATGTGATTCCATTAAATCCAGTAGCTGAGATACTACGAGTATGATGAATTAATTTATCACCAGATGTACGTAATATAGATGTTGGTGTAGTAGAAACAGTAGTGGGAGGATTGGTATTCACATTTAAACTACCTAATGTTAATTGGCCAGTAGAAGCGGTTGTATTCGGTTGATTTATTCCAGTTGTAGAAGGTGCAGAAAAACCAACAGATGTTGATGTAGATAAAAGTAAATCGAATTCAGAATACTGATCGGTAAAATTCTGAAACAGTAAACAAAATAATTGATAGGAATAGTCACTTACCTATCAAGTTTATAAGAGAAATGAAAAGAAATAATTAAAAATGGATTCTTCTTGATTAAAGCGTTAATAGATTGATATGTTTTGTTATCCGTTCTTTCTGGAACTTAGCAAGCTGAGAATTCAACGAATTTCATCAATACTGGGTAACAATATCGTCATGATTAATTTTCGTTAACGTGAGCATTACCCTATTGATTTCAGTTTATTATATGCTATCTGGTATGCTTGCATTTGGTTTGAAAATTTAGTGGATGCGATAAGCAGAAAAATCTAAGATTTAGGATAAATGTAACTCAGCAGTAATTCCGTAGAGTATCCCTTCATATGTTGGAAATAAAAACTCTTGTTTTGCGAGTCCTAATGAGATATAACTTAATCAACAAAATATCAGTAAGTAGAGCGAAATCGGAAATTGAAATTCAGTGATTATAATTTTAAGAACCTAGATAAATGAGAAAAACTGTACCCTTAAGGATCCCATAACTATATGCGAACTAACACACTACATGATATAAACATACTTGTAAACTCTCAGCTGCTTTGGACGATTTAATTCTCGTACGTGAACAAGCATGAAGTTTGTCTACCCTATCCCGTAGTGTAAGACCATCCAAAACGGAGAATAAAATGGATCCATCTGGAAAACACAGGAAAAGATGAAAATAGAGGAAAGAAAACATCAGTATTCTTGCTTTTTGTATGGATAAAAACAATAGTCAATGTGGAAAGATAACTGACCACGGGAAATTTTTCATTGTTGATTAGCCTCAAGTGTTTTGGAAATGCATCTCATCAAAAGCGAAAATTCCTAGAAATGTGGATACTCTATTTTTGTAAAAATCAAAGTCAAACTAAAATACATCAAATACTTTCCTGGAAAGACAGTGCTATGAAGTGGAGATACATATATAGTTATTTATGTAAGCGCCCATCACACATCTAAATATAGTTCCGCCTACTTTATATGAAAAAAAGATAAGTTGTATAAAGCCACTACTTTACTTCATCCTAATTACCAGTATTATGTAGTGGTGGAGACTTAGTGTGTAATTTTAGAGATAACTTCGTTTAAAGTCATGGAAAAAGTTGCATGCTACGAAAAGTGTTATTATAAAGTAGTAATAATAATACAGAAAACAGAATATATTTTCATATGATCCGTTACTAACTTACTTGGATAGAAAGTTATGAGCTACGAATCATACAAAAACGAAATCAAGTTTATCTGTTTTGATGTGCAGTTTTTCGTTAACGAGATGACCAGGAATCTAATATATATCGACTCCTGAAGCCCAAATAAAGAATAACTATATACTCAATCGATATTAAATTTGATTTAATCGGTCAGTTTATTGAATTGATGCAAGAAAACCAAGTGAATAAGTTGCTATACACAATATGTTTTCGTTTACGAGGTTTAGAATTTATGGAAAATTGCAACCGATAAAGGAAATTTTTGTTATATTCACAAGCAATACACTAACCTGGGCCATTTGGTATAGGGAAATTTATAGGTCGAGATGTAGTTTTTTTAGGGCGCTTAGCACGACACAATTTACGCATATCAATATCTGTTGTATTAATACAGCCTGGTGGCGGTCTGTGTAAATCCCAATAGGCTCGTTCTTGTGATTCAAGTACCAATCTCTCTAATTTATCTCTTTTCTTATCTACTTTAGCTTCCGCTTCTGCCTACAAAAAAAGTAAGAATTCTAAATTTATATATATATATATATATATATATATATATATAGGCGATAATTAAAGTTCTAATATGTACAGATAAATATGAAGTAACTCCATAAGTAGTTTTGTGTTTAATACCGATTGTTCAAAGAAAATATCAAAGAATCTGCAAGAGATTGGTTTTATTTTCAATAATTTAGCGAATCGTTGCTCAATAATGATTTTTTGAGAGTAAAATTACTCGATTAAGTCAATTTTTGTTAGTTTACAACTCGATACTTTTGATATTCTATGCTCTCTAATTAATACCAAAGTATAGTTAATACTTATTGTTATTATTATTATTATTATTATTATTATCAAACAATCCAGTTATAACCAGTGACTTACTACTACCCAAATAGTTAAGTGAAATATCAAAACTTAACATGTAAATATATACCGATCTCAATGAAACTCAGAGATCTCCTTTAGTGTCAAATATATAGCGTACTCACGAGGCTAACTTGCTTTGTGTATGCCTTCTTCAGGGAATCTGAACACGACTACCTTCTGCTAGAAACACTAGCTCTAATTCTAATGAACCAATATTTACAAGTGATTGGAGTATGTGAAATATATAAGTCAACAGTTAACCTAGACATTCCGGAACACAATATGATCCCTAATCTCAACTTGAAAGAGAAACTTGCTGCTAATAATAATTTATATTAAACAGCGAAGCGAAAAATGCTATCTCTAAGGTAAACTTGCATATTCCTTGAAGCCCCATGGGTTTTTCCAACCAACTTAGGGTGACAGGATACTTAATTTGTTTTGAAGACTGTAATTGCAGTCAGTAGCAGGCTTAACCCTACTGCCTCTAAATTTTTGAGCAACCAAGTAGCAACGTTAGTCGTTCGGTACTGAACAAAAATAAAAATTGGTGCAAATCTGCATTTGGTTGGTGAGTTGTAAAAATTAATAGGAAGGAACTGACTATTTGAACATGCATTTACTCAGATACCATTTGGGATAGCTTCAAAGCTGATTTACCTGTATGTAAATGAACTCCCATTTATGGCAGTAAATATTTTGCAAACTAGCCAGACGTTCAGCTTCAAATCCAGCTAGTTCCAACCTTTGCTTGTTTTGCATGGTGCGTTTACACAAATAAACAGCATAATCCGCCGTATCTGCCTCCATGCATCGACTTGGGTAAAGAAAAGGAGTTTGAAATCGGTAATATGTATGTCCATCATTTTTTACAGTGAGTACATGGTCATCAATACAAAAGATATATCCCATAGACGCAATGCGACTAGCAAGATGAACAGCTTCAGTAACATCACTAGCTCCAGTGTGTTCCATCAACCAATGAACAATATCACTACCTAAGATAAGGAATGATAAAGAATAATTGAAAAAGATAAGCGTAATGATCCAGTTGATAATGTAAGTAAAAATTTGTTTTGCACAAAAATTCGTAAAGCAACTTATCCAGAGATTGCACAAACAGATGCACTCAGTAGAATTATTGCGTTAATAAGAAGCAATGCTCTTAAAAGATATTCTACACTCGTAAGAGCACCGTTAAAGACGATCTTGTGTAAAGCTTTTTGAAGATTACTCTGTCACTACGAAGCCTGGTTGCATCATAGCACACGAACAACATACTGCTCTAAGTTAACATGCGGATAAAAAATGAGGTCTTTATAGCTTGGTTGAAAACCTGATGTTGGCAAAGTAATTGGCGATAACTAATAGTATCATTATGATCAAAGACTGGATCACACCCGATATTAGTCGGATGAAAAGTGTGGACTGAAACTCCGCATGTAATGCTGCTCGAGGCATGAAGGCAGATGTCACTTCCTGGCTGCCCACATCGTGGAAGGAAATTTCTTGAGGGACCTGAAATGAAAGTTGGGTTAGCGACCGTCTTAGTGACCTAGGAGGGTAACCGCACAGCCCAAGGAATAACTGCTTCAGGCCAGTCACGCACGGCTTCTGATGGGAAGTTTTTGAAGTGTTAGCTCCGCCCTTCAAAGCGCCTTACAGCCGGAGACGGAAATCCGTGGTGTAAGGTTTCTATGGTTGACCTTTTCTAACCGCTCCCTTCCGTTATGGGAAAGCATCATCCCTAAAGATGTTGGCTGCCGAGGGAAAAACCATACTGCTGTCACACCCGACTACAGTCAGTAGTACAACTTCGTCCTAAGATTTCAAGTTGTTGCTCTGAAGCTGATAGGGGATTAACGTGAATAAAGCACGTCAGTAGGAATATGATCTAATCCACAAACAGACTGAACATGATGAGTTGGTAATCATCTACGATACTGAAAATCTTGTAAGAAACCTTGCACACACAGACACATCTCATTGCATAAAAATGTTAGGGATGTGCTTAGCTGTATGTATGCTAGCTGGTTTTCGAACCTATATTTGTATTACGATTGATTATCGGTGTTAGAAAATATATGCAATTATTTATCACACTTAAACAACAGCAAATGTCAGGGGATTCTACCACAAGGGGCACTAACTCTATATAAATGACAGATAGCAAAAAGGAGGAAGACGGTACTAACCGGTAAACGTGCTAGGAATTATTGACATCAGACTTTTGACATTACGGACGGGTATCCCATCCTCTTCTGAGATCATCTGATCAATCAGTGCTTCTAATTTTTGCCAAAGATAATTGTTTGGAGATTGACGATCATCTAAATCTGCAAATAAGAATGCCATACAATACCTTCAGCTGCTATCTTTTTCGACTGTATACACTTGACACCGACTTGCTGATTTCCCTCGCAGTGATAATCGCAAGGTTGAGAGGCACTCGGTGAAACACAGACTTTATTTAGACATTTTGAATCAACTTCTGAATGAGATTCAGACTTCTTTTCGGATAATCCCGATACTCTGCAGCCTTTAGGAGTGCTAGATGGTGAGTCACAACCGGTATCAACAATTGGAGAATATAGTGCCTCATTTCCAGAACATTTTGAGACGCTTTGGACTAAATTTTGAACATGTCTACAGGCCATACTTTTTAGCTGGTTGACCATAACAGGAGCTAACAGTTATGTAACTCTAGCCTTTGCTAAGTTTGCTTTCAGCCTGAAGGGACCTTGACAATCGGGGGAGTGAGGTGCTGTGAGAGGTAATCTGAAATAATGAACAAGAAATAAGGTGAGCCGATGACTTAGTAGCCCATAGATTGAAATTACACTCGACAGCGGAGACAATCAAAAGCAATCAGAAATAAAACAAGCATGAGATTAAAACAGAATGATGATCTAAACCAGGAGTTAGTAGAATAATGTACTGAAGGTGGTACGTACAGAATATTCAAGAGAACCGCAGAGGTCATTGCAGAATCAAAAAACAATCTTCAGACAGCATTAAGAAATACTAGCAAAGTACTTCCAATATCTAATATATTTTTCACAAGCTAGTGTAAACCGGTCAATTTTTGTGAGCCTGACTCTCGTTCTTTCGGTACGGTTACAGGTATATGGCACTGTCCAATAGATGGTAGTTCCTCAGAATCAGTGTTTTGGTGGTAGGCGAGCGCTTTTAATTACTCAGAATAACGATATTCCTTTAAGAACTTCCACATCTAATTGAGTCCTAAATTTTACTGATTCTAACCACGGAAAATTTTTTTGAGTTATGGAGTAAGCATTTCGGTTTTCCAAACTAAATTAACCTCTACTCGGTTATGGTTTATCCCAAAACGTCACATTAATTAATGTATTAGGATGAGAGAGAGTATGAGAAACATGACACACGTAACCTCACCTCAATCTCTCTTCTAAATTGCATATACTTCAAATCAAGAACTTTTTTTCGAGTTGAGTATAGTTTATTGGTGTAGCCCTAACTGATTTTTAGAAACCCCGAAGTTGTCATATTGAATTTAGGGTAGAGAAACTTATGACACATATGTCACCTAGCTTATAAATAAATTTCTGTTTCACTATTCTTCGGCCATTCAAAATTGACGACTGTTGGGACTTCACCTAGCATCTTCAAAAAAATACGACATAGTTGTATAATTTCAAGTATTTTAGTTTACGAGTGCAGGTGTCATAATGATAGTCTAAGCTCACGTTTAACGTAGGCATCAATATGATCAGTGTATTCAGACGAGTATATAACAGATATTCAGGATTCCATGATACGTGCCTAACCATAAATACCAAAACCCAGTCAAAGCAGAAGTTAATGAAAAAGCAGGTCAATATACATTTAATGGAGTGTTCAGATGTCGATGAGTGTGTAATACAAGTGTGTTAGTTGGTGTAAAGGATGAGTATCATAGTGTACCCAATATGGATCTGGTGCACCTGCACGACGGAGAGCCTTCAGCTAGAGTGTGTGCAGTAAAACTAATGAGATCAATATCAGTGCTGAAGATCTAAAGAGCTATATACTTTGGAGCCTATTTACTTTTACAATGGGCTCTCAAGCAGTGGACTAGTGAGGTCCTTCAGATGCAACCAGGCAGAAATTTATAAACACTGCGCATGATCTTGGCTAAACTCTTCAGACAGTTTGCTCTGTTTAGCAGCGCCCAGTTGGCTTTTTTACTCGAAGGAAAAGGCCCTCTTAAGTCTAGCTGAAAACGGAATTAAGAAATGTGGAAGTGTCTAAAAGACACACATTATGTCTAATTATTTGAGAATCTCAGCATCTTTTCAGTAAGTTACTCATTACTTCACTTCTTTATTCATGCTGAGCCAGCAAATCATTCACCTATCAGCTTGTACGACGTACTGAGGAGGCTGAGTTGACAAAGCTTCGGCATGACTAGAGGATTTTTAACCGTAACTGTGTGGCTAAGTAAAGTTTCTTTGCCTATTTTTATCCAAATGATCTGTTGTTTAAGGGTTGTCGATGGGAAATCCTGCTTAAGAATAATGCTAAGTTTTTGAAGCTGAACGATTTTGGCAGGACAACTCCCTGTGTAACTCAGCCTTTGTTATAAAGATGCTTAATCTTCGGAAAAGTCGGAACGCATTTTTTTGACCGAAAGGCGTATGAAAAATTTCGTAGAGCCTGTAAACACTTATAATAACCTTTTTAGGAATGTTTCCTGATCCCATTCGAACTTTGTTATACGCTTTCATCAAGTCAACTTTTGAAAAGCAAGTCGTACCTTTCAAGATGACTATAAATTCGCGAATGTTGGGCCACGGGTAACGGTGGGGTTTTGTTTTGAGTCACAGATAGTCACCAGTTGAACGTCAATCATCACTCTCATTTTTAGAGACCATATACAAACGGACGGCTTATGGTCTGTTTGATGACAGGATAATTCTTGAGTTCCTTCTCAAATCGGACTAGTTTTTGGAACTTCTTAGCAGTTAGGGGCTTATGGTGGCCAGTGTCTCACTACTTTCGTTACGGTTGGTATCCGAAGTATTCTTAGACTTCGTATGCTGCTGGTCCAGACAATCGTTACTAAATAAGTCAGAAGGCGAATACGAAGCGTTCAGTACGTTTATTTGGCACACCGCAAATAAACCACAAACCACAGGCACACGGAGCGAGGGGCAAGCAAGCTAACGAGTGAGCGAATTGGCGAATGAATTACTAAGATTAGAATGTACATATTTATACGTTGGTAAATGGCTTAATAATCGAGATATTTAAGAAGTTAACATTGAAGGGAGTAGAATGAATAATCGCGTAAGCGGTAAGCAATGTTCAGTTTTGCCAGCTCATACAAAACGGGCAACAGTAAAAGCCAATCGTACCTATAAGTTATTGCCACACAAATAATTTCATCAAAAAGTTTAACCAAATTAGATATGAACGAACTCAAATGTATAAAGATGTACTGCACGCTTATGAGAATAGAGCTGATCCTGTGATGTGGTATGAGACATCGCTGGTCATGCACAGTGGTCGCGTTCCCGTTTCATACAGTTTCGAGTACTGTTTATAAGAGCGTGTCTATTGCTTTTAACGGTGACTGGACATAACCTAAAATCAGGCAATGAAACTCTGCAAATTGAATGCTGGAATGTATTAGTTAAAGGGCTCAAACCTTTTTTCTACTGTCGACGTGAATGTGACTCTCCTTCTTTAACGTTAGTGCTGTATGAAAGATTTGTCTTGTGTTATGGTGACAAGACTGATAAGGACTGCCTGTTTCACAGAGTCTAGAAAATGGTCGTTTTTGAGACAGGCTTCCTTACGGAGTCTCTCATCGTCCGCAATCATACTGAAAGATCAAGTGGTGAGTGGTTGTATTGCAGAGGTCCTATATTTAATCTCTGGTCGATTGAGATTTGTAGTTATAGTTTTCTCCAGAACTTGAACGGTAAATGAGTCCAGTTCGTCCGTGGCATTATTTCGGAACGATACCGGAACAGCTTGAGTGCGTTGGAGACGTTTGGACGGAATGTGTCGGAAACGGTTGTTGGTCAATGTTCTTCAACATTTTTAATCTCAATCAGTGTTGCACTTCAGTACTGCGAAAATGTTGGCTTCACCTTCGTCGATCGTCTTTCTTGGGGTGTCATAAGTCTCATGAATACCACTATTAGATATACTGAATGTGACGTACTCGTTTAAATAGCTCAGTAATGTCTTTACTAAAGTGAGACTTTACGCATATGAGTCTGTCACGTTGCTACGTCAGTTTCTGCATAGCAGCATCAGGCTTCAAAGTTATCAGGCCAGAACAGCATAAATTGCTTCGTTAATGTAATAAATAAACTATGACGTAATTGTTGATCAGAAAGTAGCTCAGAATAGAAAATACTCACCGCGCTCATACAATAAGCACCAAGTGAATGAGTATTCCTTCATCGTGATCTGTGACTTAATCAGATAAATTAGATCCGTTAATTTCATACATGAAAGTTCATACGATTCTCATAAATTGGGTTGACAGTTCCACTCTCTTTGGTTACAGATTACTCTCTACCTAATAATAAAAAAAGATAACCATGTTTTTCCTCTTTTAAGTATTTATTAATCTGAAAGCATTGCATAACTTCACATTGCCTGGATTTATAGAGTATAGTCCTTAATAAATTCAACCATTGACACTCACTCAATTTCAAAAAGATTAGTAATACAAGCAGCTGTTTTGTATGCACTGCGGATCTGCACCTGCAACGATTGTGAAACAATAATGAGGACGAACAAATCTCGCCACAACTTAATGAATTTTTTCTGGTAGAAATCAGTAGTTGAGATTCTGGCTTTAGTTTTAAGTGACAGCTCTTCTTAGCAATTTAACAAAGGAAAATATTGTTCGTTTAGATGCCTTGTTCCAAACTTCACAAAGAGAATCTTCAACATCCCAGATGTTCCTCAGTTAAATGGTTATTATCCTTTATTCGAACTTACCACCCTACATAAGCACCAGGTTATTTTCGCTTATCAGTGGTGTCATCAACTTATTCAGAGGGTTCCACTTCTTTTAGAACCTAGTTGTCAAATATTCCTCGTTCTTTTTCTTCTTGCAGTATTTCAGAATGTTGCGTCTTCTTTTGTGAAGGCTAACGTGTATTGTCACATTAACCTTACATTAGCTACATTAGTCGTCGTCTTTATCTGTAGATGTAAGCCACAGAAATATTCAAAGATCTGAAAAGCCCAAACCACCTAAATAACTTCGATGAATTTGATGTATTCCTTATTTACACTCCGTACGGCGAAAAATGCGAGATATGGTAACTTTTATTGAAATAGTATCTTCAGTCGATGTTTGCACAGCGTTTCTGTGTGCATGGCGAGCCTGTGAACTGGTTAAATTTGTATGACAACTAATTTTTCGTCAGGGTATATATCGATTGACAGTGTTTAATGTTTCCTAAATGTATGCGTGATATATCTGTTCTACATTTCACATAAATTACTGTTCAAAACAGTGCTTAAAAGGCTATCTGTAGGTTGGAAAACATATAGTAGAAATTTCATTACTCATTCTTCCATACTTCAAAGACAGCTTGGGAAATTTTAAAGCTAAGTTTCTATGGTTGAAGACTTATGCGAAATTCATTACAAAACTTGATCAGGCCTACAGATTAGTGACTCACTTGATTTGTTAACATTTGCGATCTACCCCAGTTAGACGGAAGTTTTAAATCGCAATTAACACCAGAATTTCAGTTTTCCTTCATGATATCCTTAAGCTACTCTGACAAAGCACTTTTTATTAAATTAGGTCATTAGTAACTTGGTATGAATAAATCTATGCCTACATTTCGGGTTTACGTTCGATCACTGAACGCCTTATTTGAATGTCTGTGACTATTAACTAATTTTGATGTTTTGGAAACCAACTACTGTATATTATTTTTTCACAAAGAAGCTTCATATGTTGGGGATATTTGGTTAGGCGTCAGGTTTAAATGTCGCGTTACTAGGTATATGTGCATTTCGCTAACAAGGTATTCTCATTTGGCTGTTCATAAAATAACCTCTCAGCCTTTAACTCCGATAAATTTTTCTTAAGCATTATTTTGGCGGACTGATCTATGTTTTTGTTTGACTGAGCACTATTCATTATTAGAGAGAATAAATAAAACTAACTTGCTTGTGTCTTATAGTAGATGGTTTACCCGATTTTAAGGGACGAATAGATAGTTTTATTTATATCAACTTACTTAGTAGAGTCTACGGAAAGCAAAAATTCTCCCAGAGACTTCAGGTATCGTTTTTTGAGACTCAGGCGAACAATCAGCGCTTGTTATCTCGAATAAGTACAGTTGACTGGTCAGCTCATCTTAACATTTGTAGTACACTTTTTACAATCTGGCTATTCCCCGAAAGCGTCCACCGTTCTGTGTGGCGTCCTAGTCGTTGACCACTAGATATGAAGAATGGAATTCCAGCAGAAGGTGACCCAGTCGCAGTTCCTGTGTGATAATCTCGCAGATGATAAATCTTGGATAGGGCTACAAGATAATATATCTAGACACCAAATTTCATTACATCCTTATGTCAGTGATGTCATCAATAGTACAGTGATGGCTTTTGGTATGACTGATCTTTACTAATTTAGTTTAAACATAAGACTTGAATTTCTAACAGTACAAATAACTTACCTGGACTAGTTTTCAGCTCTTAATTTTTGGGAGTACGATATACCACACCAACGACTTACGTAGTCTGAAAACTAGAGTAATGACCATCCAAATTGTTTGGGTTATCCGTTAACATATTGTCCTACTTTACATAACCAGTTACAACACTCAAGAGACAAAAGTCCTACCATTTTTATGGTCTTTAAAACATGCTAGAAGTATTTTTTCGATGCTTATCGGCCATTTCGTTTTAAATTACCGTCATTGGTCGTGCTGGTATTTTGCATCACAATCAAAATAGCATTCTTCGTCGTTAGCATGAACAGTGTTGAAGTATGTTCCAAATCGGGTCTCATAGTTTAAAATCAACGCAAAATAAATAAAACAAAAGATGGAATTGCGGGAATAGTAATGCAATTGTATTTTATCATTTAGTCAGAAAACATTTCTAACGTTGAAGAAAAATAGGATATTACTAAACTCAATATGAAAAAAAACAATGTATTTGCACCTCTGCTACCAATTTTGAATGATGTTTCGCTAAAAATTCCACTTCACAACTTTTCGAGCGGTTTACTGTTTCTACCTATTACTAAACGTCCTATCTGAGCATTATTTAAGCAAACAATTATTCAAGGACATGTGAATGAAAGACATTAATTCATGAGTGTAGTATTAAGAATAGGCGATTAAGAGAATTAAAAGTCTGTAGCAGATAATAATCGAAAGGTAACGTTCATTTGAAGTAGTTGGTTTATTATAACCTCCAAAGTCGTCTCAACGTTAGACCCAACTAGATCACATCGCCATCAGCCACCGATGGAGGTGTTCGATAATGGACTGGCGCTCGTTCTGGGGTACATGTCTAGGTTCATGCCCTAGTGCAAGCGTATATCTGTTTGAAGCTTACTGGACGTAGGAAACACACCGTAAGAAAGCCTCTAAGGGTTTCACTTAATGATAATAAGGCGAAGAATATATTTCAGGAACAACTAGAAAGACAGTTAGGCGACCATATAAGCGATTCCCATCCGGAGGCAGGTTGGAATGATATCAAAAAGGCTGTGGAAACAGCAGTGATATCTGCTAGTAAGGTAAACCATAAGGCTACGATGAGGCCGTGGATCTCAGTAGCATCCACCGATCTGATGGATGCTCGAAAACTCATCCCACCTGGCTCTAAACATGATGAAGAGCGGAGTCAGCTTAGACGTAGGCTTACAAAAAGCCTACGCAATGATCGAGAACAGTGGTGGTTGGCGAAAGCGAGAGAAATGGAAAAGGCAGAGGCGATAGGCAACAGTAGGCAACCAATTAGACTCATAAAGGAAACTGGTATTAGGAACCCAAATGTGAGTGAGACTATTTGGAAAAGGATAGCCTTATTATCTAATGTCAATCCAGGAGACTGGGTCGATGGGAAGAACACTTTAGAGATCATTTCAACTGGCCTGGAGCCACTCTTCGGTTACCCACGATCTCCAATCATCCTGAATGGCAAATCGACGTAAGTCCCCCTAGCCTTTATGAAGTTGAGAAAGCGTTAGGAAGTCTGAAACGAGGGCGAGCCGCAGGTCCTGATAGACTGACGCCCGAGATATTTAAGGATGGTGGTCCAGTTTTATCAGCTAGGTTGACTGAGATCTTAGGTAGGATCTGGGAACTGGACGTAATCCCATCCGACTGGTCTCAATCACTGATTGTCCCAATCTATAAGAAAGGACAGAAGTCTTCTTGTGACAATCGCAGGGGAATAATCCTAACTAATATAGTATCTAAAATATTGGCCTCAATAATACTTCGACGATTAACGAAAGCTCGTTAAGTGCAGACTAGAGAAAACAAGGCTGGTTTCAGACCTGGACGTGGCTGTATAGACCACATCTTCACACTACGACAGGTCGTGGAACACAGACACACATTTAGGCGTCCCACAATAGTTGTTTTCCTGGACCTAAAAGCGGCATTTGACTCTGAAGATCGTGAGGTTCTGTGTCTGTCATTGAAAGGTATACCAAAGAAGTACATTAACCTTATACAAGCTCTCTACTCGAACACTACTGGTCGACTGAGAGCTTATGGCGAACTGTCACCGCAATTCTTCACTTCAAGTGGTGTCCGTCAGGGATGTCCACTCTTTCCATTCTTGTTTAATTTTATCATAGACATGCTCCTAGAAATTACCTTATCCTCGTCTGAATTTTCAGGAGTAGACCTTTTACCAGGTGGCTCGCTTATTGACCCAGAATACGCCGATGACATAGTCCTACTTGGTGAAGACGCTGACAAAATGCAGAGTCTTCTAACCACCTTGAGCAACAATGCTAGCATGTTCGAGATGCGGTTTTCTCCCTCGAAATGCAAAATGTTTCTTCAAGATTGGGTTGCATCGGCACCTGAACTAGTGATAGGGAGTGAAGTAGTCGGGCGCGTCGGCCGCTTCACTTATCTTGGGAGTCTCATCAGTGCTGATGGCCTGGTGACTGACGAAATCTCAGCTCGGATACAGAAGGCTCGATTGGCTTTTGCCAACCTGCGTCACTTATGGCGTAGGCGAGATATCCGTTTGCTGACTAAAGGATGAGTGTACTACGCAGTGGTTCGCTCCGTCTTACTTTATGGCTGTGAAACATGGCCAATGAGAGTAGAAAATATTCGTAGGTTATTGGTTTTCGATCATAAGTGTCTTCAAAGCATTGCTCGTATATCCTGGGACACCCGAGTGAGCAACACTGTTATTAGGAATCGGGTGCTAGGTAAGAATGGCAGATCAATAGACGCAGTAGTGACACATCATCAGTTGAGGTGGTTGGGACATGGTTTGCGTATGCCTAACCACTGAATGCCTCGACGAGCAATGTTTTGTAGTGTAGGAATAGGTTGGAAGAAAGCTAGTGGCGTCCAAACCAAAACATGGCAGAAATCCATGAAGTCATTGACAAGTGGACTTAGCCATGTTGGTAATTGTCGACTACCTGGTTGGGGTCCGCGAGATGATCGAAATCGATGGTTATAGACCTTGAATGACATGGCTCAAAATCGTTCGCAATGGCGCCGGTGCATTTATTCTTTGTGTTCTCTCAAATCCTAATCTTCTGGATTCTTCAACCCCTCTAGTTTCGACTTTCTAAACTTTTCCCACTGAATCATAGTTCTTGAATAATATCTACTAATCCTAACCTCCGATTACTTCTAATACCTTTACTACCTCTTCTACTATTGGATTTGAATTGACAATTATATCTCTGTGCTGATGTGGTATGGCGACATGAACTGATGTACTTATGTACGAAGTTCTACGTTGCATCTGACTGACTGACGTACATCAGTTCTTGTTGCCATACCGAATTAGCACAGAGATGTAAATGTCAATTCAAATCTCATAGTAGTAGAGGTAGTAAAGGTATTAGCAGTAATCGGAGAGATTAGTATTAAATGTTAATCAAGAAGTGGAATCTAGTGTAACAAACTTAAAAAGATAAAGTGATAAGGAATTAAAAAGTTTAGAATTTTAGAGGACACAAAAAATGAATGCACCAACGCCATTGCAAATGGTTTTGAACCATGTCATTCAGGGCTTCTAATCATCGATTACTATCATCTTGCAGACCTCATCCAGGTAGTCGACACCTACCGACATAACTCAGTCCACTTGTCAATGACTTCATCTAAACTGCAGTCAGTGGGAGCGTACGCAGATACGATGAAGAGTCAACGGTGAGTTTCCCTATCCTCCCGATTCCGAACCATCCCGTTTAGTCGGACAGCGCATAAGCGACTGTCTACCGAGATCCAGTTCAAGAGAGCTAGTTCTGCCCTATGAATTAGTACCATACCTACACCAGCGAGGCCGCAGGAGGTAGCATCAAGGCTACCAGAAACACGAAGCGTAAACCTTGTTGTGTCTCTATCTGCACTAGGTGAAATTAAAATTGATGATTTTACTCGGATGTTGTATGCGCGTTTCGGAGACGCAACATACATCGATCGCCTGGGGCTCCAGAGTTCTAGCTAATGAAGCCTGTTGCCCTATTTGGCATAGGGTTTGAACATTAAAAGCTCCAATTTGTAATTTAGTTTTAAGAGACCAGGGATGACATTTTGCGAGCTCTAACTGTTTTCTTCAGTGGCGTGAGATGATAAACGATCGAAGGAAGAGTTGGTCGTTGAGATAAGAGAGCTATTAGGAGGTGCAGAAAGGATTTGATTGTGATCAATTTGGTCTCGTGTGCTTTTATGAGTATGAGGGCGGACATAACTTCCTGGCTGCCCACACCATGGAAGGGTTCTGATTGTCAGATGATTATGCTACAAGTTTAGTAACACAGAATATTACATGTTCGATGCGTAATTGGAGTGAGTCGCATTTCAACTAAATGTCTTTTATCCCCGTCACTTTTTACTATAGTAATAATTAACCTACTCAAAAGTTTCGAGGTTGTTGTGTTGTTTTTCAGTCTGTGACCATTAAAATATGTTTTTTTAATCAATTCACAATCAAAATACTACTGAGAATCTTTTATAAAAATTAAGATTTCACGATATCAATATTTCTCAAGAGTTTCTTTTATATTTATACATGGCTTATCATTTGCAGCTCGTTATGTACTATTGCTATTTGCAAAATAATCTAAATGGATGGAACTAAAACCATAAGACGAAGAACACATGATTATGAATTTAACGAAAACAGTCAGTTCAAACGAAAAGTGAGTACTTTTCCTTCTCCGAAGAATACGTTTCAACTTTTCTTTTCATTTACGTGCTTGCTTATAATTTTGGGCATTTTTTGCTCCTTAAATGTTGTAGAAAAATAAATGTTTTGCCTTACACTTGAATTAATCAAGTACATTAAATTAAATCCAACTAATTAACCAGTTACACATTTGTCTTCAAAATCCAATCTTGCTTTTAACATGAGGACTGGTGATACCACCTTACTCATCGAAGTATTGTAGAGAAAGCAGTGACCGAAATAAACCCTTTTACCAGTTCATATGGTGATTAACCATTAAAATGACACTTGTTAGTTGGTTTAGACTATCCGATTTTGGGTCCACGCGATAGCTTAATCGATTGGAGTGCAAATGACATGTGAAGGCGATCATTTTCCAAAAGTATATGATATGTATTCATATCTTAAGAAGGATTTTAGATGCTCATTTATATAATATGGTAAATATGTGTTATCACAGTAAGTTATCATTACTAAATACAACTCAGTCTAATCTTTACTAATTTGACCGTCAGTCTAACTGAATAAACCATAAAAAAGGTGTATTCCTAGATCATTTTTATTTGTCAGTCCCGTAATTAGTGTTATGGAGTGAAGTAGTTGGGCGTGTCAAATGCTTAACTTTTCTTGGAAGTTTTATCATCCCTAATGAATGGGTGTCTGACGAAATGCCTGCAAGGACACAAAAGGCTCAATTAACTTTTGCCAATTTACATCACCTATGGAGTTATTGAAACATCTGTGAGACGGTAGTAATCGATGATTTCAGACTTTAAATGACATGGCTCAAAATGGTTTGCAGTGGTGCAGGTGCATCCACCCTTTGTCTTCTCTCAAATTCTAATCTTCTGAATTCTTCATGACCTCTTATTAAATTTATTTCGCTGGCTTATACTCATCGAATCATATCTTCGATCTCTAATCTTTTTGATTACCCGTAATACTTCTACTACCTCTACCACTATGACATTTGAATTAACAATTCTATCTCTAAGTTAATGTGCTATTGAAACTTGAACTGATGTACGTACGTACGAAGTACTACGTTGGAACTGACTGACTCCACAATCAAGTGGTTTCAGCATCTAAATACTTTGAGCCTTAACTACCCATTTTCCCAAGTCCTTATCATACCTATGAGACTAAGCAGAGATATGGACAGAAGAGGATACTGTAGTGTAATACCTAGTTCTACCATCGGACTCCCCAAACTGAAGTAGATGGTTTGGGACTCAAACTTGTAATTTGGTGGTTGATAGTCAAATATATTGACCACTAAAGTACCGCCTCACTTATGAGAAGCTGTAACTCAGCTAAGACCCTATACATATCACCAATAAGTTATAGGCTTAACACATTTTCCATCTAAAAAGCTTTACCATCAAATCATAAGTAATCTATCAAAATCATTTTACTACTGTTTCCATAATTTAGAGGAAAAGAGAAAATGAAACAGATAATACAAATTCAGTGGAAATATTAGGCGAATCTCATGTAATATTCACATCAAAAAATACTGGAAATAATCATTATTGGAGTCAGGATGCTTCAAGACATAATACAAAATGTTTTGTAAGTTTCTTCATGATATTATCATTTTGTTATCGCTCAGATACAATCTCATCGTTTAGCAACACCTTCTTTTTACAAGATCACTGATATTTTACATTCTTCTATTACTTTTTGATTGATTTATATTTGATTTAGATAGTATCTCTTTTATTTTTTTAATAATTTATTGCTATCATCAGGGTTAAAATGATATCTACAACTGAATATCATACAATTTCTAAATGACTGACGCTCTCGGCTTTTACACATAAGTTGGTAAATCCAAGAACTAATATATTGCTAGCAGTCAATAGATCTATTATACAAAACATGAAATATTTTTATGCCTAATAATGACCTTATTTAGTGGTAATTTATTAAAATATCTATCAAGTTAACTGATTAGTATTAGATTTCATTGAATTGTCTTCACCTGATCATTTTAACACTTTTAGGCATTATAACTGTAGAAGAAATCATGAACAAAAACGATCAATCGATAAATTGAGAGGAAAGCACAATGTTGCAAAAGTGAATAAAAGACGGATAGTAAAAATGGCTATGTTTTCATCGTTTATGATAGGTTTTGACTTAAATTCTCCGTCTCTAGATATCTAGTATAATGTGGATTCTATCCTGGAATAACAGCCCTTCTCAATAATCAACTTTTATATTAATTTTATTTCTTGATTTAAATATTCTTCCTCCTCGTTACCCCCTTCTATATAATTTAAGTTGTTTAGATGTATAAGTTTCCTAATTGGTTTTAGCTCATAATCTCATTTACCAGTTTGTCCAGATTTCCTTAACATTCAAATTTCACATATTTATTTTGGAACATCACAACAAACCATTTGGAGACACCTAACTAAAGTAGAAGAAATACTATACACTTTTTGTACGCCTGACTGTCAATCAATTATCGTGTATCTTTTCAATTTAGCAGATCAAAATTTATTGTTCTACATTTTTAACGGGTTTAGTTGACACGTCGTGCTACTTGCTTACTTAAGTCTGTTACCCCTCGTGGAGCATCGACCATCAACCAGCAGTCTTAGACCAATTCTATCCTGGGCTCTCTTTTCCAGTTGTTCCTAAAAACCATCCATCCTTTTGACGTCTGCCTCCAATTCCTGACACAATGTGTTTTTAGGTTTGCCTCTTTTCGTTTGGCCTTTAGGGTTCCAAATTAGGGCTTGTCTTGTGACACAGTTGGGCGCTTTCTGCAACGTTTGTCCTATTCAGCCCCAGCACTTTTTCTTTATTTCTTCCTCGACTGCAATCTAGTTTGTTCTCTTCCATAGTAGGTTGTTGCTGATGAACTCACATTGTTAGTATCCACTATTAGAATATTAATCAATGTAAACTGTTTAAATAAAGCGTCTCAGCGTACTATCATTACGGATGAATTCTTAACTGATTTGGCGATCAGGTCTAAAACTTAAGAGAAAGTCAGTCAGAGCGGTTGAATTTCAACAATTCTACCTAGTAGGCTCAAATTTATGCGTTTTCGGATAGTGCTGATGACCCTCTTATTTCTCTTTTTCTCATACACTTAAAAGTTTGACTCAAAGATAAACACATTAATATGTATAAACTGTGAATAATTTAATTATTCATATACACACTATCCATGTTTTCGAAACTCAGTGAAATTATTGCATACTATTGTTAATTATTAGAATTTTCATCGTTTGATTTCAAATTATTCTGTTAGCTATAAAGTTATTTTCTTTCTTTGTGTAACATAGTTTCCAAATGGAACCTACGGTGAATCAAGACTTGTGGAAAATCACACTCATAATAATAATAACAGCAGTGGAAGACATTTTTCACCTGGTCCACAAAATGGACGCAGTAAAGAAAAACTTCCTAATTGCAATTTTGGACGTACAACAGCAGCTGAAATCCATTCTACTCTTCCATCCCTCCCTCCTAGCTTGAGAGAATCGGTTAGTTTTTTTGTGGGATTTGGATCTGTTCCCCTTTTTGTGTCCATAAAAATGTATATTTTCATTTGTGTACGCCTTCGGTGTTTTTTTAGCATCGAAAAAATCCTAACTAGTTTGTTAACTGAATAATAAGGAATTCAGTTCTTCAGTTGTATTGTTCATTTCGCAAGCTAATGAATTCTTTAAATATTTTAAAAGCAAAGGCAATTATATATATATATATATATATATATATATATATATATATATATATATATATATATATATATATATATATATATACGTGTGGGTAATCAGTGAAATGTTTGCTAATGAAGTTCTATGTATTTTTTCAACGTATGATTTTATACTACGGCTGATAAAGTAGTTTACTATCAGCTATCGATTTCGAGGAATCAAGTTGATTGTTCTCTAAATCCTTTCTAACTCTAGAATCTACGAAGGTAGGACTGCAAGGGTTATTCTGTATAATTACTTACTTACGTCTGTTACTCTCCATGGATCACAGGTCGCCGACCAGCATTCTCCAATCTGCTCTGTCCTGGGCTTTCTTTTCCAGTTCTCCCCAATTGCTGTTCATTCTTTTCATGTCTCAATTTCTCGGTGCAGTTTTCCTTGATCTACCTCTTTTTCTTCAGCCTTGAGGATTCCGAGTAAGGGCTTGTCTTGTGACGCAGTTAGGTGCTTCCCTCAATATATGTCCTATCCACTTCCAGTGCTTTTTCCTGATTTCTTCCTCTGCCGGAATCTGCTTTGTTCTCTTCCATAGTAGGTTATTGCTGATTGTGTTTTTCCAACGGATCCTTGTGTAGACAACTGTTAATGAATACTTGTATCTTCCGAATGATGGCTTTTGTGGTTCTCCGAGTTTCTGCTCCATACAGTAGGACTGTCTTGACGTTTGTATTAAAAACCCTTACTTCGATGTTCGCCTGATAGTTGCTTCGAGTTCCAGATGTTCTTCAACCGTAGGAATAGTCATTTCTTTGCTAATCCTTTCTTAACATCTACATCAGATTCACTTTGCTCATCGATGATGCTGCACAGGTATGCAAACGTTTCCACATCATCCAAAGTTTTTACATCAGGTGTGATTTGATTGGTATATATTGTGTTGTATCGGAGGATCCTTCTTTCCCCTTATGTATGACCGTTTTTTAAAAATTAATTCCTCTGGAGTATACATCTCGAATGATATATTCGATCATTCGTCTTTTTGTTTACTGTTAATACATCTACTACCTTTACTACTATGGGATTTGAATTGACAATCGCGTTTCTGTGCTAATGTGGTGTTGCAACTTGAGCTGATGTACGTACATACGAAGTTCTACGTTGTAACTGACTAACTGACTGTGTGTTGAGACCTATTGCCGCAGTGGCCGCTGCTACACTTTTTGTCTTCTCCTGAGTCTGTTGTTGCGTGTGCGATAAAAGAAACAGATCATCTGCTAAGTCTAGATCATCCAGCTGCATCCTAGCTGTTCACTGTACCCGCGTTTCCCCCTACATATTGACTTCTTCATACTCCAGTGGACCACCAGGAGTAAGAGGAAGAGTGGGAGTAAGCTACCCTGCTTGACACCGATCTTCACTTTGAACGAAACTGTGAGTTGTCCTCCATGTAAGATTTCTCAGTGTAGTCCGTCGTAAGAAGGCACATAGGTTTGCGAATCTCTCACCGTTTTCATTCCTTTCTCCCAGTCCATGCCTACTCATGATGTCTTCATATCCAGTACTGTCTATCCCAACCTTGGGCATTTCTCATTGATTGACTGCAGCTTCTCGTAGAATTGATCTTTAACACCTTCATTGTTATCGTTGATAAGCACATAGCACTAAATGATATTCATTGTAATCCCTCCTTTATTTTGAATGATGCCTTGATGATCTTGGGTCCATGAGATTCTCATCCCAACGATGTTTTTTGTGCTTGTCGGGACAGTATCAGTGCAACTCCTTGTGTATGTGTAGCATTTTCTTCTTCATGGCTGGAGTCTAGTAGCAGCTCTCCTAAAGCTAGTCTTTGTTGTCCAACGTGAGTCCACTGTGTTTCACTGATTCCAAGTACTACCAGGTTGTATCTTTTCCTTTCTACAGCAACTTCGGCCACTCTCCCGATCTTCCAAAATATGCGAACATTCCATGTACCTAAATTAATGGTTGCTGTGGTTGTTAGAAGGGGTATCGGCCTCGTGACTTCTTAAGGAACTCGGTTTTCGCTATGACACACCATAACTCTTCTAAATGAAGACCCAACTCCGAAGACAGAGTTTAAATGGTTTGAATTATTTTGTTTATGGTTAGTGTTTTGTTAGCGAGTTGTTTTTCAACGGGACTAGTTCTCTAACTCCATGTCCAACCCTCCTTCATCCGGGACCGGCAGTCGCCTTAGAAGGGCACCGGACAGAATTCATACCTAATGATAGTACTTGAATAATCATCTTTGGAAATTTCTTTTAATTTTCAACAACTTTTTTAGATTTTTATACTATACTGTCTTCAATTCTGCTTGACCTTAAATTTGAAAAAAACTTCATCGTTTGTATCTATTAGCTGAATTACTCTACATAACCAACTGTGACTTATAGTTATCATCTAGCTACATTTTATTGATTCTGATAAGAAATTAACTGGGTAATTAATAATTCAATCCCTATTAGAATAGAGATTGATTAGGCGTAGGTTTTCCTAAACCTAGTCAACTCTATGTTCAAGGTCTTTAACTACTTTTTCATTTAGTTTTTGAAACTCTTAAGATCAATCTCTGTCTGTCTACAATGTAATTCAATACATTTACCAAGCGTAGACTTGTGTATTATTGGAATTCATGTCCTACGATTTATATGTGAAGGCTAGTAATACTATCCAGATGTATAAATCAAACTAGTTGGGGTAGTGTTCGAATCTACTATCCAGTGATGGAGAAGAATAGATTCACTTACTGGTATACCACTGTAACGATTCTTCGACACTTTCTAAGAAATTGTCGAATGGACACTATTATGAAATTTTTCTCTATTTTTATGCTTCGGATCATTTCATTTAAACATTCTTCAGTTGTTTCATAATTAACATTTATCAGCCTTATTCATCGTCAATACCCCGTAGCTTATATCTCATATTTTTACAGTAACATATACAGAATTCAACAAATTTTTAAAAATACATTTGCTTATTTAGTGTTTAAGCTTAGTTACTTTTCTGTCATTGTACGTATATATTGTATTTGTCTGTCTGTTACATGACAACATATAAGTTATATCTAGGATAAATAAATCATCATTGGATTAGATGTTATGCTGGTTAACATCGACATTTAATTGTTCGTTTTGGTTACTATCATAAACTGGCGCTCTATTACCATTACCATTACGATGACTATCAATATTATCTTTGGTAGTATTTTATAACGTTACTGGTAATATTGTTATGATTAAGATCAAACAAACGTTTCTTATTTCTCTTATTTTCTCACAGTATGAGGCTTTAATCGATTTCCGGCGTATATATATATATATATATATATATATATATATATATATATATATATATATATATGCTCGTTGCAAAATTAATTATAATTTTTATCAAAGTAAAAAAACGAATGAGCGATGTAGTCATTTGCGACTACTAAACAAAAGACATATACATATCTGTATTTGCCGATCGTTCTCATTTCTTCGTATTCTGCAAACAAGTAGTGCATATATATTTCCAACCTTGTATTTTTTTCTGATAGATAATAAATTTATAGTGTGTACCTTATTTATCTCTGTTTTTTCTGTACTAAACATAATGACATAGTTAATAATCATGAAAAGTAATCATTAAACATTTGACCATTTAAATCTAATCTCTTATTTAATATGTTACTCGATGAAAGGAAACTGAATATTAAAAAAACACAATGATAATTATACTGTTTCTAATTGATTAATTTTCTAATTTCCTTCCGTAATCTCAATAACTTCTCACATTGTATCAGAACTTGATATAATTATCCTAGAGGTTTCTTTACAGTCCTAATTCCTAGAAAAGGCAGTAAAATTCAAGGTATTCTCTGAACATATTGAATGATTATATATAAAATTGTTTAGAATGCATTTCACGCTTACAACAATTTGTTTCTTTATGACAAGTTTTTTTTCCATTTAATTTGACTTTAAAAAAACTAGGTGGTTTAATTCGTTAACAGTTTTACTCATGTAAAAAACCTTATCCATTTTGACGGGTTGGTGATCAACAAAATCTCATCACATATAAAAATAACCTGTCCTGTTTTCTTGTTATATATGTAACTCAAGTTGCATGTTGTTGGACGTGTAAATGGCTAATTTTTTTGTCCCATATTACTTAATGGTTGTAAAACATTATAACTGGAAATAAATGACACTTGTTGGTTATCAGTATTTTTAAATCATTGGTTTGTAAAGTGCAAGGGTTAGGTGAGTAATCATTGGCATTTTCTTCCTAGTTTGCCGAATGAAGTATGATAACTTGTACATCAGCAAGAAGGCTCATATTGATCGTGTTTATGTATGTCGACGTTCTTCAAGAAATAGTCATCTCATTTTCTCTATTAGTCGTTATGACGTTCTCTCCTAAGCATAAGAACAATTGCTATCTCGATCAGTTACGTTTATTTCAGCTACTTAAGCTTTTCAGTGTGTATTTGTGTAATTTTATGAAAATACATTCGTCAGTTAGCTCAGTTGATATGCGTTCATAATTTAAAGGACTTAATAACTTCCTATCCTTGTATTACTTATTATTTATTGAAACATATAAACATTGGTACAAAATGTACCTAGATATTTATGTATCACACAAATCGTTCTATTTGTTTGTGGGTTAGGATACTGTCCAGTTACCAGAATCGAAACAAATGGTTTCCTTCGTGGAGCACTTTTTAAGCCTTTGACTTAGAGGTTTAATCCACGAAGCAGTGGAGAAACGTTAGGAGATGCTGATGACCAAGAATTGGTTCATACATCATTTCTTCCCCCAGTATCCTGAAGCCCATGTGCACCATTGATTTAGAACCAGGGCTTTCCAACTCCCCCAGGTGGACCCTTCGTTCCCACCGACTCGGTTGAAGCATCAAACGTTCTTTTTTCATCTTTTGAATTTCGTAGAGAACACTTACCACAAGAAGGCAATGAGTAGGACTTTCCTGAAAGTGGCTATACACATGTGGTAATATGACAGTATTTAAAGAGGAAGAGCAGACTCTTCCTACTGTCTAGAGTACCAAGTTATTTGGGAGCTTCTATCCTTTGAAGGACACTTTTCACATTTAATATAGCACCAAACTGTACCTTATATAAATAAAATTCAGTGTAATTTCCTTGGCAGAGACGCGACATCAGTCATTTCATATCTATCATGAAGGTAATAATTAGACAACTTTGTTTGTTTATTTAAGTTTTTCAAACACTTACTTATTGAAGATTACTGCACGTTTACAAGATTCATGTGTTTTACAGTGTTCATGGTGTACTCTAAACTGATATCATCGCTGACTATGTATGTCTGGCTACTTATATCTGACTATAACTCCTTAGTCATATCTCATTACTAGGAATTGGCTCATCGACATTCCTCACTTCTCTTCGCCTTGCTTTCAAGCTTAATATTCTCCTGTCTGTCTGTATGAACGATTGCTTGAAGTAGACTCATCCAACCGAACCCGTATTTGGCTTCTTATTACCGCAGTCGAACAAACGGAGTTCACCTAAATGTTATATACGAAAACTGAAAGGGAAATTTATTTCACAGCATACTCGAACGCCATAAATATCGAATCTAACGCAGTCTACACCTATTTACTATCACTTGATGTGATAACATGACTTGAAACTTTTCGAAATTTATCATGAAATCAACATTATTTTTATTTATCACTATACAAGGTTGTGAAATTAAGTCTGCTATGAAAAGAAGAGAACTTTCTTGTTTATTTTCTAAAAAATTCTTTCTAATAATTGTCAAAATTAAAATATTTCATTTTCATCAACAATTCTCATAGTGATATTTGGTTATTTTCAGTAATTGTTTTGTTAACATAGAAAATTGGAACAATTTGTTTTGATAATATTTATGTTTCACTAGTTATTTTTAATACAATTAGTATTTCCACTGGTAAAAGTGTGAAATGTTTTACTGAATAAGGAGTTTGTGGAGATTGTTAAACATTATGGAACGGTCCTAGTTAAACCACCAGTAGAAGAAATGAAGAAGCACTGGATATTTGCTTTGTCCTAATATGGGATTCTTCTCGCCATTCCACCAGGTGTTCAACTCAGAACCTTCAGGTTTTGCTTATAGGCAGGCATGTAGGCTACAGACCACAGAGTTATAATTCCAATGATTTACATGTTTAACTTCAATTAGCTTATAATATTGTGCAGCTATCTTCCATTACCTACCTGCAGTGGATAACTATCTAACATTCAACATGGTCAGATTTCATTGGCCACAGATTCTCAGTCGAACTTCTGGAACTACCATTCGAGATTAGTCACTAGTTATCATATGATTATTATTGAAATAATTGGAGGTTCTTACAGATCAGTTCTTTAATGTCATAACGATAAAACAATCAATGTTGTTCGTGAATTTTCTCGTCCTTATTATGAAGTTATGCTTGTGGATTTCTTTTTGCGTCAGTACACATTATTTAGTAGTCGATAGGAATTTTCAATATCAACTATTCGCTGCAGGTTATTAGTATTATTACAATTTAAAAAAAACCCAGTAAATTTATGTAACTTCAACTGAATACTTTCATAATATGTGTATAATTCTATATGCCTGACATTTTAATCTGAAAAAATTGTTTGCAATCAATTAGGATAGTTTTTGTCCAGTATTATTATTATTGAAAATCTATCTTAGTGCGTGTGATATATATACATATATTTATATAAGCGTGAATATTACCGTAAATCACATTATGAAATTTGTTCATATCGTTAGCATTCTATCAATTATAACAATGTCTCCAAATGCTCTCTCTCTATGGCGGTCTTGAAAAAAATAGTATCCTTAGTTAAATAATGAATATTTAATGCATATCATTGAAGAATTGTAGAAAAAAAAAATAAATAATTCCATGTATATGTATATATATATATTCAGTAGATAAGATACTGTCCTTGATTAAAGTCAGTTATTCAAGTTTTGACTGTCTATCATCAGAGTTTTGCTGTTGTGTAAGTGATAAGTTATCATTGTAGTAGTAGTATGAAAATTCAATGATAATGATGATGATGAACTCCATAGATAAAAAAACACTATTCTAAATTCAATGATTACATGTTATCATCGAAACAAATGAGCTTATTGAATGAATTGACCATGTTTTGGTTGTTGTTGTTGTTGTTTGCCAACAAGCATCAAGATTATTGAGTTGTGTAAATTAATTTAAATCAACACATTGACATTTGAATAAATATTCCTTTTTTTGAATTATTATTTGTTTGTTTATTGTTATGTTTTTTTTCTTTCTTCTTCTTCTCCAGGAACGTATGTTACATGTTCAACGTTGGATAAATAGTATTCCACCGGATTTACCATCATGGATACAAGTATCACATAATAAAATAATCCCGGTTACTAATCCACATGAATGTTATGCTGAAATAGAAGATTCAAGTATATCTGAACTTCCAGGTAAATTTGATGATGAATGCTTTAAACTATGCATGGAATGATTGTGAATTGAATTTTGTCAATAGATTATTATTGACATTAGAATTATAATACAATGTAAACAAAATTGAATAAGTAATACATGTGTCGTATTAGGTTCAATCAATGAAGTTGTCAATCAGATGATAATCATTAACCACTGGTGAAATTGAATGCAAGCATCTTGCTATATCAAAAAAAATATTGGACATTGAAAATACGAAGATATTGATGTACTGGTATTCGTGTTTTGTTGTTTCAATTTCATTTGGGATAATATACTCTCATCATTGCGATGAAGTTTAACGAAATAGAGGATGAATTAGTAAACTTAATGCTTTATAGTTCTCATTAAATCTGTGACTTGTTTTATTTTATCTTTGATGACAATTACCTTTACAAAGAGTAAGATGCATAAGGTTGAGATCAGAAACACTTGAGTTAATAATCATTTTGTTAGCAGAATAGATTCCTGACTATCCTACACTCTGTGATCCGGCTTTTATAGGAATACGCCAGTTAGTTTCTATTCAACCAATTAGCACTGGTAGATGAATCGAGAAGATGTGAAAGGATTTCTATGCAAATTCTAGTGTTTTTACCAGGTCTAGTTAAAATTATATTGTCTTCTTTCAATCCTTGTGTTTTTGATTTGTGTGACTGGTCAATTGAAATATATTGCTTCTTAGGTAATCCAGTTCAGTTAATTCTTCAATTTTTCTCGAATAACCTATCATTCATCTTTGAATTTCTATGTTTTTAATTCAATAAATAATCTCATCATGCATTATTAATAATTAAACAAATCTATTATCAACTGTCTTTAACTATCTCATGATATACATCTTTACAGCTTATATTTTCGAACCCTAATCTTCTCCATTACTACTAATACTTTTACTATCGCTACCACTATGGGATTTGAACTGACGGTTGCGTTTCTGTGCTGATGTGGTATGGCAATCTGAACTGATGTACATACGTACGAAGTTCTGCGTTTTATCTGTCTGTCTCTCTCCTTAAATTGAATGAAGCTTGTTTTTTTCCGTACTATTCTCATTGTTTAGTTCATAGATCCTTAAAAACAGATACAGCTAACATAGAACCTCATAAAACTTCGTATTTGGTCGTTTCTATAACTAACTCATACACCAGTAAAATATTTGAGAGAATTTTAATATAAAGAATAAAATTAGCTCATAATACCAACAGTATGAATATTCACTTGGACCACTATCACCATATTTAACATGGTTCTGAAATCTTCCAGAACCTGAAGGTCATATCTAACTAGATAAATCGAACATAGAGTAAAGAGTCCTTTTCTCATGTTGTACTTTTTCTTCTGCATTCGTGTTGCTGCATAGATTTAGTCTGAGGTTATTAGGAACGGTTAAGAAACTAGATCAAGCGTTCATTTAGCAGACCTATCAATAATAATAATAATATGTTGATAAGGTAGTAAAATATTGACAGAATAAGTTCCCATTATTACACTTTAATTAAATTTGTTGTATACCGCTTAAATTCAGTAACTGTCGTTTTCGCTTGTATTCAAAACTTATAAACATTTTAAATTGTCACTTTCATTTAAATCCTATTCTTCATTAGTAAAATCCATAATGTTTTTTTCTTTTATTTTCAAATAATTCAAAGCTAATCTGATTAAAATTTTTTCCTGAAGAAAAAAAATCAATGCCAATATTTCTCCACACACTAGCCTACGGAATTTAGGAAATCCAATTGACTTCTAATCAATAAATAACACAGATTCGAACCTTTCTAGATCCATTAAATTTGAATAATACCACTGATTCTCTTCCTGTGACTTTTGACAACACTGTATTCGGTGAATATATAGACAGACAGATACAACGCAGAACTTCGTACGTAAGTACATCAGTTCAGGTTGTCATGCCCCATCAGCACAGAGACGCAGCTGTCAGTTCAAATCCCTCAGACCTTGGGTAGCTGCTTTTAGTCTCATCGTTCTCCAATCGACCTGTCTGGCATGGTAGAACGTTCAGGAACATATGTTCCCAGCCAGTATAGCTCCGCTGGGTCATCATGATAGTCAAGCCCGACCACCACGTCAGGGTAGCAGCTACGGTCGGGTCGGTGAATATAATTTGCATAATGTATTAATCACAATTAGAACTTTTCATTATTCCTACAATTTTGATTTAGCGATGCAATTTAATAGTCAACTTGAGTGGTATCATTTCTTTCTAGAAGAGATCTAAAGAAGAGAATGAAAATGAAGAAAAAACTATTGATTTCTGTTCACTTTTTCATAGATTTCAAATGTTTAATCAGAAAAATTCATATCACATTTATAACGTTTAGTTTAGCATTTATTTTTATCTGTTAAGCATATATTAAGACAAAGTTTTGCCTTTATCCATTTTTTTTTAACGCCTAAACGTTTTTTGTTTATTTGCTATTATTTTCCAGAACCATCAGATCTCTCTCCTAACCATGATATTTTAAATTGTAATCCTGGTCATAATTTTAATTCTGTCAATTCGAATATGAATTATGGTTCTAAACAATCAAATAATCATTCATTTAATCCTTCATCTACACAAAAATCATCATCTAAAATTCCCAATGTTTCAATTGCATCTCCATTACAATCCACTACATTGCCACCAACCCATACACAATCATCTTCTATTCCAATGCAACTACATGGATGTAATAATAATAATAATCATACTACTTTAGGTGGAATGGCTTCAAAATTTTCAACTATACCAAGTGGTAGTACAGTTAATTCTCATCAAAATCTACATAATCCTATGCAATCTAATCAAGATATCAATTTATCAAATCATCAACATTCACATCAATATTGTATGAATAATGATCAGAATCGATTGAATTATTCATCTAGAGATCCATTATTAAGGCATCATATGGACTGTGAACCACCGAATCCTACTACGACTACAACTAATAATAATAACAATAACAATAGTATTCATAATAGTCAAAGACATCCAATTGGTGATTCTATGAATTCCAATGGACGATTATTCAATGATATGGAAATTCAAATGATAGTTAAAGTAAGTGCAATTTTTTGCTGTTTTCATTGTTGTTGTTGTTGTTCTCGTTACTTTCATTGCGTCTAAATTGGTTTCTGTCATTTATTTATCCAATATTTCTTATAAATGTTATTCTCACTATGATGCCTTATTATTGTTTTTATTTTAATTTCATGTCGAATGTTTCAACTTTTATAATTATTACCTGCTTAGTTATGGCATTGTAATGTAGACACATTTTCTGTGATCTATTTCTAACCAACGATTTATATATATATATATATATATATATATCGTTACTAAGTGAACTCATGAAAAACGTGCCATCATGATTAATAATGATGGCAAAAGTTTGAAAGTTGACGACAGAACAGAAAGACACATCTTTAGTTATTAATTGACAGAAAAATATGTGGTAAATATTTGTAATTAAGTAAGCAACTGTAGGTATGCAATAAAACAATGATTTTAATGGTGGTGTAATAAATAACCAAACTGTTTATAAAATAGTTTATGAAATAAATTAATAAACGTATTATTGTTAATTGTGTGACCATAAATGTTAAGTAACTCATTTGACAAGCTCAAATAATGAATTGTATTTTTTTTAAATGTACCTTATAGCCTAATTATAAAGTCAACATAGAATACATAATTGATTGGAAGTATATCAGTTGCATAGTAGTACTTAAAGTGTTCAAATCTCAAGTTCCAACTACAGTCCATCCACTATGGTGTGGGTAACCGGTCAATCTCATTAACTCGTAAATTTATTATGTGGACTAAAGCCAAGTGCACAGACTTGTACCTGATAAATGAGTTGATTTATTGGTTGTAAGCATATAGAGTGTTGCTTGAGGGTTGTGGGGAATGGATAGTGAAAAAGTTTTTTTAGTATATATATTTCAAACGTACCATTGGATAAAATTGTTCCAACTGCAATGGTTTTGACAAAATTAAGCGGAACAATCTTTGATGAACTTTTTCTGTCTTCTCAAATAATCTCTCAATTAATAACTTATTAGAATACGGTAACTTTTTATGTTGTTTGTCGTCAGTAGCTTAGCGTGCGATTATAGTTCACATGAAAAACCAATTATATTTCAAAATTTTGGCAACCAACTTTTACATATGAATATTCTTAAATTTGTTCTCAGTTTTCTTGTTGCTTACATATCTGAACTAAGCGATCTCTTTAGCTGTTCGAGTTATGCGAAGGCAGTTATCACTTGCCGATTTTTTACATCGAGAAAGGATTATACTTTTTCTTGAGGGACGTGAAAAGGAAGCTAAGTTTGCAGTTGTCTTCACAATTCGGGATCGTGACCACAGTCATTTTTCGAATTTAATTTAACTTTAAAAACACAAATATTGCTACGAAAGGATACAAAAAATATAAGCACCAAGCAAACCATTCAATTTGTGTATAGATTACGATACTGTCTGGGTGCCCAAACCTAAACAGGTAGTTTTCTTAGGGAGCTCTTGACCTAGATACCTAATCCAAAAGGCAGTGGGCCAACGTTAGGAGCTTCAGTCCCACGGTAGACGGTGACCAAAGAACGTTCATACTCCATTCATGCCATCAGAGTCCTAGAGGTCATGTACACCATTAGTTTGGAATCAAGGTTTCCCAACTGCCCCAAGTGGATCCTCCTTATCCACTAACCCGGTTTAAGTGCCGAACATTCGCTTTTCGTTCTCTCAATTTCGTAAACAACTCTGTTGCGAGAAAAAAATGATTAGGACTTCTCTGTTAGTAGCTATACACTCATGGCCATATGAAAGCAGTTGGAGAGAAAGAGCAAATTCTCACCACTCTCAACCGTACCTGAGCATTTGTGAGCGACGGTGACCATTTTGCTTCAGGGGCAACTCCTTATAGTTCCTTAAACGATTTTTTGTGGGTAATTTTAGATATGTTAGCTCCTTACTTTCAAGACGGACTCCATACTTCTAATGTCAAAAAGCATCATCGCTACAGATCCTGATTGTCTGAGAAAATTAATCCATGAAATCTAACCTTAACAGTTATTAAATACACATTTAAAATGTGAACCATACATACAACAGGAATGGTATTAGAAACTACTTGTAAAATTAGCAATCTAAGCAGTTGGTTGGTTATATGTACATACAAATACGAACATTGATAACATTCAGTAATAATTATTTTAGGATATAATAAGGTGTCCAGTATGATCCCCTGGCCCATACAAGCCTCTCTTATAAGTTCATTAATATTTTTTACTTAGGTTTATACTTTGTTTTTTTCCTTATGACTTTATTTCTTAAATACCTTATTGATCATAAGTGTTTTCATCTTAAGTGTTTACTCGGATAAGAATTTCTGTTTAACTAACAAAAATACCTAGGGTAAATTTTTCGCATACATACTTTAAAGGTCACTAGTTTGAATATTAATTTAACTTAGATTGACTTTAATTTCCATTGTATTCAGTCAGACGAACAATAGGAGAATGCACATTTTTACCAAGACCTACATTATTCCAACTGAACAAGTGACTGACTAAAGTTTTTTCAAACCAATTCTTATATATATATATATATTCTGTAAATAAATTAAAAATCGAAAATTGCATCGATCGAAGTACACCTGTTTTGTAAGGCTGCAGGCTAAATTATTTATTCACACCCTAATACTAATCATTTGTCTTAATTTTTTATCTAAATTTCATTCTTCCAATATTAGAATTAAATTAATCTTTCTAGAATTTGTTTGCAAAGCCCGCATTCGATTATCGATCTGCACTCGTATATCCTATGGTCGTATAAACTTGAAATAAATAACTATATCGAATGAGTAAATTTTTGAAATGTGCAGATGATGTTGTGTAGAATGGCAGTAAATGACTTATAATTGAACTACTATCAAAATCTTTCTATTGAAGTACATATCTTTATTGTCCTCTTGAAAATAAGACAATAATAGGCAAAAAAATAACTACATATTTGATCATTTAAGTTGATACAATTCTAATACGTTTGGTTTTCGATAGACCTGAACCTAAAATATGATGTAGAGTTGTCGTTAAATGAAGCTAAATGGAGTATAAAGTTCATCCATTTTACGACAAATAAAATATAGCCATAAAAAGAAAATTCTTGTCAATTTGATGTAAATATGTTGATATATGGTAAAAGCAATTTTCATAACGAACCTTTGGAAACAAAAATTTACTAACAGGTTACATTTCGTCCGAGTGGTAGGTATCTCAACAGTGCATGTACCTATGATCAAGCACAAAATCTTCAGGTGTTTTTTATTTTACAGCAAGCATTGTTTGCCTTTAATCCAATAAGTACGAGACGGATGGTTTATACTACTTTCTGTAACATTGAGGTTACCTAATTACGTTATACATTCTCACTCAATTAACCGACTGTTTGTTCAAAAACCAGATATGCACCAGAACAAGAGTCTGTTACTATGAAAGTATAAAGGTTAGGATTATATATCACAGTGTAGATATATTTAAGATACCAGATATGTCAATTTGAACTCACCAACTAATCACAGGTCACTTGGAATTGACATATCACTTTCAATATCAGTCAATTTATGATACAAAGTGATCCCCATCCAGTGCACTCACCATGAGACTTAATAGTTCTCAGTCCACTTGTATTTTAGCGTTTGGGTTCTCTAAACACTTATGACAAGACATTTGCAATGTTCGATGGTTCTCTTATTGAAATCAGTTTGTGTTAATTATCACTTTTTAACAATCGAAACCGTACGCTGTGCAATGAGATTGAAGCATGTAGCTAACGTGTTTGGAAGCCTCAGAGTCACATTTACATTTGGGTTAATTTTCTCAGAAATAGATTATCAAGATAGCTAACTGTGATGTATATGTTCACCTATTTAAAACAAATAACAAGAATACTTTTTGTTAGATATTATCCTGCAAGTACTTTTAAGTGAGTAGTCCAGTTTTTATAACATTAAGCCATATCAGTAGGTACAGACTAGCCTGGTTAAGATCATGGTAACTATTACGGCCTATGATTGGAAAAGTTGATTGACTTACCTCAGAATCGATCTTTGTGTTTTGTTAAATTTTAAGTTTCAAATTTATTTAATAACTATTTTTTTATTCACTTCTTTACTTATTGACTCACATTTTCTATTATTTCATCTTTAGAGTATTTTCATACATCAATGCAGATAGGGAAACAATTAATTTCGGAATAATTTCAACACTTAAACATTCATTGCCTAGTTTTCTCTTCTTCTTCTTCTTCTTGTTTTCAATGTTTTTTAAAACTTTTTTCTAAAAAAATCAATGAATAAAATGTGTTCATTCATCCATTCATTTATTTATTTCGCACTAAATTTATGTATGTATGTATTTATAGTTGTATGGTTTAAGCTAAAGTATTTATTATTTTCCAAGACCACCAGTTATTAAATGGGTTGAAATTATTCTCAGTCAATCAATAAAATCTGTTCAATAGCGATAGGTAGTCGAAAAAAAGTAATTGCGAGTACTATTAGGGTGTACAAAAAAACATTATTTCCAATTTCATAGTGAACATAACGAACTGATTGTAATTAAACAACTACTAAGAACTAAGAAGCACTAGACAACTATTTCATCCTAATTTGGGACTCCTCAGCAGTACATATCCGCGACCCTACCAAAGGGTTGTTTGACATACTATCGCTATGTCTATATTATAGAAAGAGGGAGTGGGTGAGTGAAGTGATGTGTATTCATTTCATTATTTGAGTATAAATATATCATTATGACTTGTTATAATTCTATCTTAGTAGAACCCAGCTATTCCTATTGCTTAGTCTCGGACACCAATCCACTCGACAAGTCCCCAAATCAGAACACGGTTGAACAGGTAGGAGATTATATTCCAAATAGTAAGGTTAAGTGGAAGTAATAAGCGAAGCAGAATAGGAACAACGTTAGTATCTTTATAGTTTTTACATGAGAAGCTTCTAGGATGTTCTCGAAGTACTGACTAGCGCTGATTGGATGAGA